CAATTTCATGTTTGAGAAACTAGACTTTTAAAAATTCCACGCTTAAGTCTGAATAACAATCACAAAACAAAGCAAGCTACTTTGCAAATTGCATAAGTGGAGAAAAGCTCTTGGCTGATATTTTGGGCAGTTAAGGGTCTCCCTCTTCTAATCATGCCTTCCTTTAATATCTGTTTCTACCCACAGTTTACCAACACAGAAAGCAATCCAAGACAAGGCAAACCATAGAACAATCTTGGTTTTTTTTTTCAGGCAGAATAGTTCTGCATGTATTTTTACCCAGATATAAGCCAAACTAGTAATGAAGGTTATGTAACCCAGAGGAAGTCTTTCAATATAAAAACCAGCTCTAACAGCTAAGAACCAAAGCAGCTGACATCATAAATGCAATTCCCCCCCCACTGCCTGTTTAACATTTTTAACAGAGATTAATTCATGACAAGTGGAATCTTAATTTCTAAGTGCCAGATCAAAGAACCCCTTTCCTTCTTTTGCCACTGACAAGAGTTAATAGCCTAAGGCAGGAAACAACCCAGAATACACAGGAGCAGCTCAGGTCATGTTCCAACTTGAGGGAGGGGTGGAGCAGGGGCTGGAAAAATATTGCTATGATCCCCAAAGAAAAAGGACTTCAAGGGGTGGGGTGGGAATGGAAGTACTGGCAGCATTAGCAAAGGCACACAACACTGTGGCCAGGGGAGGCTCCCTTAACCTGATCAGCTTGTTCAATAGCCCAGATTGAGCACCTAGGTGAAATGCTCCCCCCACACTGATCTAGAGGCATACTGTATTCAGATGCCTTTGCTTGCTTGTTTGCCTTCCCTTTCTCTCTCTGGGCAATGCAACACAAAGAGAAGGAGGGCTTATCATTGAAGGAGCATTAAATGGCTTAGCCTTTCACTAATTCATCTGCCCTCTCCATCTTTCTTTCAGTGAAATGGGGATGGGTTTGACCCTACCAGCCAAAACTTCCACATCATCCATGATACAAGCTGAGGGAATAGCCAAAGATGATGTTCCCTCCTTTTGATCTCTCTGGACAACAAAAACCACTTCATCTTGCAGCATCGTACAAAGAGAAGGAATTCCCAAGCAGGTAGAGGACACTGAAGGGAGATGGCAGGTGAGCAGTCAAAGACACTGGTCACCTGTTCCATTGCTATCCAAAGAAAGAAAGGCTGAATAAGCACATGGAGTCAATGGCTGCTCCAGCAAGGAGATGCCACTAACTTCTTGCTTTCACCCCTTCATCTCTAGAGATAGAAAGATGCAAGGAACAGCTGGCAGCTCCTTTTTACTTTCTTTTTTATGCTCTTCCTCTCCTGGACCTCACAGCAAGGCAGAATGAAGCTTGAGCTTCATCTGCTTTCAGATTTACCCTTTTCTGGGATTATGCATCAGCGTGTAAGGAACAGTTACCCACTGGTTATCCAATGTCTCGTTTTGGTCAATAGAATGGTGGGAATTTTGCCCCAAGAACACAATCCTCCCTCATATGCTGCAGGGAAGGGTAAGTGAGAGGAGGCATCTTAGTTTGGGCAGCAAGACTGGACAAATAATGGTTGTCATTGTTTCCTCTTGTAATACTTGCTCTGTTTGTTCATCCTGCTTTTGGAATGATGCAGCAAGGACACAGGGTTCTCCATTCAGATTGAATTAACAAAGGGTGTAATGGGAGAAGCAGAAAGGCTAACTGTTCCAAAGTAAGTTACTCCTCAGGAAGCTAATTGTCACTTCGAGCTGCTCACTTTCCCTTTTATTGTTGTTCTTATTTGGTCATTAAGTCGTGTCTGACTCTTCGTGACCCCATGGGGGTCAGGCCCTCCTGTCTTCCACTGCCTCCCAAAGTTGGGTCAAATTCATGTTGGTAGCTTTGATGACACTGTCCAACCATCTCATCCTCTGTTATCCCCCTTCTCCTCTTGCCTTCACACTTCTCCAACATCAGGGTCTTTTCCATGGAGTCTTCTCTTCTCATGAGATGGCCAAAGTATTGGAGCCTTCAGCTTCAGGATCTGTCCTTCCAGTGAGCACTCGGCATTGATTTCCTTCAGAATTGATAG